TTGCTGAAATGTAATTGTATTTGTTGGTTGCAGAAGAAAATAAATACAAATCAATTCGATTCAATCTCCATCATCACCATCATCATCTCCATAATCATCACCATCGCCATTATCATCATCAGCAACAGCAGCATCAGCATCATCATCATCACCACCATCATCATTATTATCACCATCATTATCACCACCATCAGCAGCAGCAGCATAATCACTTGCATTATGATCGCCATAACCACAATAACCATCATCCTCACCGTTATCATCAACATCATCATCCCCATCGTCATCATCATCACTATCATCAGTAACACCAGCAGCATTAACATAATCATAACATTCCTATTTTACCTTCCATGCATCAATTCTCAGTCCACGAATTACATATAGAGTATGGTAATTTATTGATAATTGTAATTTAATGTCTGAGTATAGTAATTTACAAACATGATAACATGTATTGAAATAAACATACCATTTCGTCAGTAATCAGTAAATCAATAAACATTTCACCTTTAAACTGTCTACACCTTAGATGATTATATACAATCGTTATCTTACTACATTCAGAAGCGTAAACACTACCATAAATATCAGGAACATGAAAACGCAAGTTTGCTCAGATAGAAGAAGCTCGCTATTTGTAATTCAATGACAAATTCACTAGTTCAAAAGTTTTTTTAGGCTGCCAGGTTGCTACTTTCACTAGCATAGTAATATGTCAGCTCGTACGACTACATACATCTTTACGACATTCTATTTAATATCTCTTTACTGAAATTTTTTTTAAATTTATTTATTTAAATATTTATTTATTTATTTAAATATTTATTTCGTTATTTAAATCATCGGCACATTAACCGCTTTCCGATGATAACAAAATATAATTGAATAAATTCAATCCTAAAATCGAGAGAGTTAAAAAGGTGAAGAGAGTTTAGCATGTTATCAAATGTTCTGTTTTTTTTAACACCTTGCTTTAAGACCTGGATATATGATTGAACGATGGCTTTATTTTATAATTGTTCTTATCAGTGAACTTGATGGTTCTCTTGATGGAGTAATGGTCTTTCCAATAATAAAACAAAAACAATACAGATAATCAGATTCCAAAATAAAACATATCAAACCAAACAGTAGAATCAAAGCGAAGGGTACGCACAAACAAATCAAACTGAAGAAAACAAATCAAACTTTTGTACAGGTCTGCATTGTCAGCAGTATTTGACTGCAAGAAGTAATTTACTAGTGCAACTTTGAGATTCACGGTTCGAAATATCTCTACATTGTTATGATAAGTTAGGCTTTTTCAAACACCACCTTCGTGTAATCCTCAGGAAATTCATTTTTCATGGAGGAATGACGAAAAAAACTACACCCTTTACTTGTATATAGTTTGTTGATATGCATCAACATTTTTAGTCTGGTATTTATTACTTGAATAATTCAAAAAATAATTCCACAATTATCAAAATAATATTATCTGCTCGTTCTCCTCTTTTTCCAATTTTATAACCAGTACTACGAATACAAAATAACACAAACGATTACACACAGTTTTATTTTCACACTTCCATACACCGACTAGAACATAATACCAATATGATTATATGCAGGTCCTATACCGTGTGAGTCAAAAAAAAGTTTACACTTAAAAAATTGCTAATTATTTAAAAAATCATCTATGAACAGTAACTTATTATACATCTTATGAAATAGTGTTTTATCCCAAATCATTTGGTATCACTTTTGTGTGGTATGTGTTCACGTTTGGATGAACAGGAGGCATTGTTTGCGATAGTGTAAAAATCGACTTGCGCCAAAGTGATGACTACAGTATGTATTATGTTAGGATGAGCGGAGTGAGAGAATGAATTGAATGTATCAAATGAAATGCATTGCATATGTTTTTTGCAGAAGCAAAGTCACACACAAACACACGCGCGCGCACAAAATGTTCGTTGATATTTGATTTTTTATATTTGATATGTGTGGCATGGTTATTTTTGTTAGGGGTTCTATTTGGATCTGCAAAGACCGAATTAATACCCAAATCCCAATAGTTTTATTCAAACATTGGCGCAAGTCGAATTTTGCACTCACGCAAACAATGCCTCCAGTTCATCCAAGCCTGAACACATACCACACAAAAATGATACCAAATTATTCGGGATAAAACACTCTTTCATAAGATGTAGAATAATTTACTGTTTATAGATTATTTTTAAAATAATTACTAATCTAATAGTTGTAAACTTTTTTTGACCCACACTGTTTATTCACCTATGTAATATCATACTTACAATTCAATAACACCGATATTCAATTACAGTCAAATATTTTAGAATGTACGTACACAAAGTATTTATAGGATATGGGAGTTAATTGACTGACTCTTAAAAACAACGAAAGTTAGCTACATAGATCAAGTTTTATCAGTAATTGTTAAGATATCCATTGTCGAACCAAAACAAAATATGAGAATTGGTTTAAGGCAAAGTTATGAAAGATAAAGATCATCTTGAACTTAAAGAATACCACGATGAACATGCGTCATTTTTTAAATTGTATCCGCTTAATATTGTTAAAGTCAATATTTCAGAAATTCTTAAGAATTCAATGCAATTATTCAATAGGAATTTTATATTTTGGCAGTCTTTCATTCATTTAAATTTTACAATTTTTTGGTATCACTTACAAAGAATTCATTTCAACGCCATCCCATTTGTTCCACAGTGATAACACAAACCAAAAACATACTTCTATATTGATAAAGTTGTTTTGAAATTGGACAGCGTTATATCTAGACCCAATGATGGTGTTTTGAATTTAGAATACGTAATACAAAATAATCTTGTAAATTCGGTCATAAAGTCGATAAATATGAATATGACAATTTGCTTGCTTTTTCAATCGTGTAGATTAAAACAATTACATATTGAATTTTAGATACTGTGGTGCCTATTATCCGGTATGGGGTCAGGATAGCTTAGTGAGCAAACAAAATCAAATAAAAAGCTACATATTAACACAAAACCAGTGGCATAACTACGGGTGAGGGGGCAATCGAAGAAAAATCTATCTTGTGAAAACTGATGCGCTGCCCCCGGTCCAATTTAAAGAGAGAATAATAACTTATGCTAGTGTTTCCCTTTGAATGTTTTTATTTTGTGCAGTGAGATTATTGAATTAAAATGTTATGATATGTTTTGGTTGCTAGATGCTAGCACACGAAAAAGCCCCTGCATCGTCATTTCTGTTTCAACAGAGTTACAATACCGGAGAAGTGCCTTTAGACTGGAAACGTGCACTTGTAGCCCCTATTTATAAGGCAGGAGATAAATGTTGCCCAGGTAACTACAGACCTATATCGCTGACGTGTATCTGCAGTAAGGTGATGGAACATATAATGCTTAGCCACATTTCTAAACATCTTGCAGCTAACAACATACTCATTGATGAACAGCATGGTTTCAGACAGAATCTTTCGACAACAACACAACTTGTCACAGCTACCGATGATTGGTCATACTCTCTCCAAACTAGAGGCCAAACTGATATCGTCTTTCTCGACTTCCGTTTGATCGAGTACCACATCCACACCTTAGATCCAAACTACATTACTACGGAATCAGGGGAGACTCTCTCCGCTGGACTATGTCACTCCTAGCGAATAGACATCAAGCTGTCGTCGTCAATGGTGCTCGCTCAGCATGGATGCCTGTTACTTCAGGAGTACCGCAGGGTTCTGTCATCGGCCCCGTACTTTTCCTGCTGTACATCAATGACATCAAACTCAAAAGCAAGTCCACAATGCGTCTATTTGCAGATGACAGTGTCATCTATCGGCGTATCGACTCTCCCTCTGACACTCATATACTGCAAGAAGATCTCTATGTTCTTGCAGACTGGTCTACTAAATGGCTGATGGGATTCAACATCAAGAAGTGTGCTACATTGTCAATCACAAACAAGAAGCACCCCATCACAGTGGACTACACCCTACTAAATGAGTCAATTCCTCGAGTAAAACAATACAAGTATCTTGGTGTCACGATTACCCATGACCTTAAATGGAACACCCAATGTAAACTCACCACCCAGAAAGGCAATAGAACCCTTGGCCTCCTACGCAGAACTCTATCACCGTGCACCAAGAACATCAAATCCAAAGCCTACACAATGCTTGTTCGTCCTCAACTGAGTATGGCAGTGAAGCTTGGAACCCTCGGACTCTGACATCAATACAAAGTCTTGAGAAAGTACAGCGAGCTGCCGCCCGCTTTGTATACCAAGACTACCGGAGAATAACATCAGTCACAGCACTTGTCAACGAACTGGGATGGGATACCCTTCACAACCGCAGGCTTCTTGCACAGTCCACTTTGTTTTACAAGATGCACCATCATCAACTCAACATGCCTTTTCCCACTCACATTATCCCAGCTACATATCTGGGCAGAAATGATCACCCTCTGAAGTATGCAGTACCCCCAGCTTCCATTGATAGCTTTAAGTACTCCTTCTATCCTCGCACCATCTGGACGTGGAACCACATATCAGCTGCTGCGGTAACATCTCCAACAGTGACCATCTTCCAGGAGGCTGCTCTACCCATCATCAGAGCGTTGCCTCCTCCTGTTGGGTCCAAGCTACTGTAGACTCCACGTCTCGGTTTTTACTTGCACGTCCACCGTTTTATCGTAAATAATAGACATCATTCACTGTTTTGAATTACTTCATGCACTGTCACTATGCCAGCACGTTGCACGGACATCCCAGTTTAGCTGTATGATAGCTGCCATCGGGATTATCTCTACAAGTAACAAGTAACAAGGTTAATTTTGTTGAAGAGAAAGGTTTGCTTCGTAATTAACATGCGTAGATATTCTTGCATATGTGTTTGTTCCGTAGGTCATTATGCGAAGAAATATCATCTCAGTTTATTACAATGCACTTCCAGTGGAAACCGGGTGACTCTAAAACTCTACTGCACATGATAATCAAGGGTTAAGTGGAGTGGTGGATAGGTTTAATATATACAGCCTCTCCGGCGTACAGAAGCCTAGCTCTCCTGATCGGAACTGCTGAAGGAAGTACCAATGTCTCTCAGGCTTCCCAATCTTGTGATCGGAGATGAGGGTCTTGACGTGCTTCAGCTTGCTGGTGTACTCATCAATATTGAGCAGCCCTTCTGCGTGTCTAACAGAGGCAATCAGGACTAAATTACCTTTACTCACACAAGCGAAGAGGCTATGCTCACCCGAACTGGTTATTTCATGCATTACATCACCCTTTGTATCAATACGCGCTATCGCATTGGAATACCGTTTAACGATCAATGAATCACCATAACTAGTGATTGGCTGAGATATATTTCCATTGCATGGTATCTCCCTGATCGCCTTTCCACCTGCAGGTGAGAATACCTGGATCTCATTTGTTTTCCTGTAGCTGACATAGATCAGATCATCCCTGTCTACTGTGAGATCGGTAAACCCACCTTTACTTGTATCTAAAGTGTTGAATGTCACATCCAGCTTCTCATACTCTGATGTGTACAATGACATGTTATTATCTGTATCAAGTACAACACACCGATTATCAGAGAGGAATCCTAAGCAACGAATATTGTTATCCTTGAGCACCGTCTCCTGCAATTTCCCGGCCGCAGAGAAGATTTCGATTCCGCCAAATCTAGATCCAACAGCCATCCTACCATTTTTCGTAGCAGCTATCGCATTCATACTGTCTTGCTTTGAGAGTGCGACATCGCATTTCGACTCGCATTTTACGAACCGGAGTTCACCTATGGATAATTGATCAGGATGGCTGCTTGGTGTAAAAGTCAGTTCCTCTGCAAGGTCAGCTACATCACTAACAATCTTCTTCTTGGGATCATCTCTATCCAGCACATTCTTCAGGTCACCAGACAATGAATCACGAATAGCAACAACGTCCCCTTCTAGTGGGGCTTTCAAACTATTACTCGCCAGTTCACTCGCACTCTCAATACTCGTAACTAGCCTCTCATCCGCAACTCTCATCTTCTTCAAACTTTGACATAATATCTCTTTCTCAGTATCTAGTTGCTTGTTCAAGATCACATTTCTCTCTTTTATTTTGTTGATAGCCTCTTTGCATGTCTTGTTGATTTTAGCTTTTTCTCCATCGATGTGATCAGTGACACGCTTCAGCTGATTATCGACACATGTCATGTGATTCTTGACGGTTGTAGCTTTTGTCTCACCCCGGGCTTGTAGGGATTCAATGCCCTTCTTGAAGGAAGTATTGTAATCCCCCGCATCTTGAACATTGTGGCCTTTCTTATCGTGGTAGATCATACATCTCGTACAGATGAGCTTCTTACAAGTAGTGCATACATCGGCACAGACATATTTTTCGTCATCTGATTTGTGTACTTCTTCTTGACAGTAGACCTTCTTCTTTAGGACCACCTTGCCCTCTCTAATATCTTCGACGCTCACCACTTTGTGTTTGAGATTATGTGGCCATTGGTTGTGCTTTGGCAGACATGGGTTACACATATTTTTACCGCAGTCGCAGCAGAAATGTACAGCTCTTGACTGCACGTAACACATTTCACAGAGCGGTTTACTCTTCCTGAAGCCATCAACACCTGACTTAACAGGAACATTGGTTTTGAGATTTGCCACTTTGCCTTCAATAACAGATGTTGTTTTTCTACAGATTGGGCAAGCTAAAGTGTTTGCACTACTCTGCGATGAGCACGATAAAATGTCTCTAAGACATTTCTGACAGTATGTGTGCGTACATGACAACTGTTTAGGATCACTTAGTAGATTCAAACAAACAGGACACTGCAAGCCACGTGAAACCGTGTGTTCAAGAGTCGCCATAATTATTGTTAATCTATTGTGCGAGTCAGAGCTTGAAATTTACTAGCCATATATATTGATAAAAAATAACAATGTTGGTAACTACATATAGGACATCAATTATAGTATCAAATACATAAAAAACAATATATATATATATATATATATATGTGTTGATAGTTAGTTGAACTGTATCTTTAGTAGTACATGAAGAGGCGGACCATTAAAGAATCCAAATGACGCTTGTTCGGTTCCCCTCGATAGAGGCTCGAATGATCCATGATCCACCCTGAAAGACAAGAACAAGATAACAGCTTTTGAAGATTGCGATTATTTGAAGAAGCTGGGAATTTCGAGAACGACAAAAATACAAACGGATCCAAGGTTTCGGAATAGGGCCTATTCCGAAACCTTGGATCCGTTTGTATTTTGTCGCTGTTTTCATGAAGTGACGGTAGTGAAAAAAATTGCATTCACTTTGCGTGACGATTTTCCTCACTACCGTCACTTCGTGAAAACAAGGACGGTATGTTGCTTCTGCTGTACTGACAGTAGAATTGGACTGTGGAGCCATGCAAGGAAGCTGTGAATTTCATATATATCTTACGTCATATTTCATGTGACGCAAGCAATTTCACGGTTTTAACGAATATTTGAACAATAAGAATGCAACACAATCTGTGAAGTTGGCATGATCTTTTAATCTTGAAATGCCTACCGAATGTCGTTATTACTCTTTGGACTCCGACGAAACTTTGTCAGGAGATAACGTACGAGTTAAACAAACATCATAACTCACATTTGATTTACTCAAATTTTACCTTGTAACATGTTACACAGTTAAAATTTTTGTGAACAAGTTGTTTAAAAGTTTAAACAACTCTTGATTAACGGGTGACCTGATCTAAGAGTTGTTTAAAATGTTAAGCAACTCGAGTTGTTTAAAGTTTAAACACTTAGTTGATCAACATTTTGAACAACTTGTTTAAAATCACAATTTAAACAACCGGTGTTGTTTAAAGACGGTTGTTTAAAACGGAGCTGTTGTTCAGTGGAGGTTGTTTACACCAACTGGGTTGTTTAAAGAAAGTTGTTTAAAAAGGAGCTGTTGTTCAGTGGGGGTTGTTTACACCAACTGGGTTGTTTAAAGAAAGTTGTTTAAAACGGAGCTGTTGTTCAGTGGGGGTTGTTTACACCAACTGGGTTGTTTAAAGAAAGTTGTTTAAAAAGAAGCTGTTGTTCAGTGGGGGTTGTTTACACCAACTGGGTTGCTTAAAGAAAGTTGTTTAAAATGGAGCTGTTGTTCAGTTGGGGTTGTTTAAACTACTGGGTTGTTTAAAGAAAGTTGTTTAAAAAGGAGCTGTTGTTCAGTGGGGGTTGTTTACAACAAAAGGGTTGTATAATGGGGTATAATTTGGGTTTGATACTCTGAATAAGTGCACCACTACTTCTGGGTCTCTATATAGGTATATGAAGACTAGGGTAATTCTGCAATTCATGAATTAGCGCCAAAACATGAGCGCGCATGCACGCACGTATAAACTGCATAATATAGGGATGCATGCAATCCCTATGGCAAGGAATTTAGCACACGTTATAACCGAGTGCGCGATCAGTGCCGCACTGCATGACGCGACGATTTTAAGTCTACCTGTATTCTGACATTTGCGTACAGATACCGAAAATTTTAACTGTGAACTTACGCTAAAAACTTCAAAGTAGTTAATAGAAAAGTGATTTCAATTAAGCCATTGAATCCCCAGTCACTTAGAAGCGCGTCGGTAGCTTGGTCGGCCATGATGTTGTGTTGTGGGTTGGAAAGTAATAACTATTAAGCTAAATAAATGTAAGTATAGAGACAAACAAAATGGAGCCTGCAGAAACACGTGTGGTTGCTTTGGTAGTTTAATCCAGACTCAATGTCCATGTGCTTTTACATATGTATCAATCTGTGTAGTCAGCAAAAGACCCTTGCATACACTTGCATTGTGTGTATGCATCTAATATGAATAACAATGAGCTGTGCCTTAACAGCTGCACTGCATTTCTAAGTGGCATGTCAATTTCAATTGCATGTTAGTTTCAAGGAACCTGTTTCTAAACATAACAATGTGAAATAAAGCCTTTAGCCAACACGCACATGACGTCATATGTAAACAACACTGTCTAAAAGCTCTCGTATAGTAAATATAGCAGTCATTAAATTTTAAACAACGAATGTTTAACAAAATTACTTCTGTTTCGAGCAACATTGTTTACAATTTGATCAACTGTTGTTTAAGATAGTGTACAACTGTAAGTGAACATCACTTTTTTAAACAGCGTTTTTACTGTGTAACAAGTATCTATCACATCACCCCCTCCCCCCCCCATTCATATTTTTAAATTCAAACTTAAAGTTTTTATTAACACTCCGCAAATGAAGAGCTAGGTTACAAAAGGTACTACATCCATGAATCCAAATTGTTATTATCATGGTTAGCAAAGTCAGTTTGGAATGATACTTTGGCGGATAAACTGTTGTATGATATAAGTATAAGAACACTCTTTATAAGAATCTAAGTCTGCAAAAATATATTTTTCATGAATTTATGTTTCTTAATTTCTGTGGATGTAGTACCTTTTGGAAATGAAATTAGATTTAGTATTTTTTGGGAACCAAAAATCTTGCATACTTTGTAAGTTACAATGCATGACTTGAAGGGATAAAGTAACCTTTTAAACTGTTTTTAAATGCTATTTTCATTTTTGGGGGAAATTCAGCTTTTTAGAAGTGTCAGTGTATGGCACTACCCATACACAAATTGTTTTTAAAAAAAATAATAATAATAAAATGTACGTAGTACCTTTTGGAACCGAGCCCTTTAAATATGCATCCGTTTCTTGTTTAAATGGTTAAAACAACGGTTCACAATATTATTTATGAATATGATGTATGTAGATATTACCTTTCATATTACGGCAAAATACAGAGTGAGTCAGAAAAAATGTCCCACTTTTTAAAACTTTAACTTTAAAGTATGAATATTAAATCATGAGTTTCATGATATGTCTTGATAGATTTATCCTCCCAGTACATTTAGGTACCATTTTCATTTGAATCTCTGCACGCATGACTGAACATCAGACAATCTTTACAAGACTGCCAGATCGCGGTTCCATGACACATGCTCCGCCGACGATTGCTCCGCCGACATTTACTCCGCAAAACGCGACAATTGCTCCGCGACATTTGCTCCGCGACATTTGCTCCGACGTCAAATGCTCCGCCGACAGGTGCTCCGCCGACAGTTGCTCCGCCGACAGTTGCTCCGCCGACAATTGCTCCGCCGACAGATGCTCCGCCGACAATTGCTCCTCCGACAATTGCTCCGCCGACAATTGCTCCGCCGTCAATTGCTCCGCAAAACGCGACAATTGCTCCGCCGACATTTTCTCCGCCGACATTTGCTCCGCCTGAAGCGACACTTGCTCCGCCGACATTTGCTCCGCCGACATTTGCTCCGCCGTCAATTGCTCCGCCGACAATTGCTCCGCCTGAAGCGACAATTGCTCCGGTGACATATGCTCCGCCGACAATTGCTCCGACGACATTTGCTCCGCCGACAATTGCTCCGCCGACAATTGCTCCGTCGACAATTGCTCCGCCGACAATTGCTCCGACGACATTTGCTCCGCATGAAGCGACACTTGCTCCGGTGACATTTGCTCCGACGACATTTGCTCCGCCCAAAAAGTGTCCCATTAAATACAAATGCTACTAGTACTACGACAAATGCTTCGCCGACAATATTTTTTTTTCACGGGTTGTTTTTGTTTCTTTCTTTTTTTCTTCATTTTTTGAATGCATTTCATGACATTATGTAAATGAAATGAAATGAATGAATGTTAATAATGTGGGAGGAAAAAGCAGTTGCCTAAAAGTCATTTCGAATATACTGAAATAACTTTCCATCTATCACTGTACGTCCCACATAATGTACACTAAACACTCATTACATGTCATGGGAAGTTTTTTTTTTTTAAAGTAGAGCAGCAAGCCACATTCCCCAATACGCGCATACCTCCTAGTTAATTTCAAACAGCTCATCAATATGTAAGACCTGAAATTACCTCAATGAAAGAAGACTAATAACATGAGAGGAAAGAAAAGAGCAAAAAAGACAACCGTTTTTTGCTATTCCCCATAATGTTTGATTAAAAAAAATAAAAAATAAAATTATAGCTCCTTACGCAAGTTCTCCGGCGAAAGATAATTACTCCGCTCAAAATCTGTTTCATGTATTACTCATTAGATGATCCAAAGCTCAAGGCTATCTCTCTCTCTCTCTCTCTTTCTCTCTCTCCCATGCTCCTCCTTTTCCTGTTTACACCGTTTTCTTGTCTTCTTCGTTCTTTTCTTTCCTCTCATGCTATTAGTCTTCTTTCATTTCCATCACTTCTTCTCTGCTCCCCCTCTCGAGCTCTATTTCTCTCGTGAAATTGAAACGTAAAGTAATACAATCATGTAGTACATTCTTGTTTAGAATAATATTTTCAATAATATCCAGTCCATTTTCTAAAGGTTTCTTTCCTTTAGTTAAGTGTATGTAGCTTTAATATATATATGTTAGTGTGCAAAACACTCCGTTTCATTCGAGTACTTTGTTTTCACTAAATAATTTAAGGGACTCACGAAGCCACCGGAA